GATATATTTACCATTTGAATGCATCCTGTACACTCTTGCTTCTAAGATTTTACTTTCTAATAGATACAATAAACATAATCTTTTCTCCCCTTTAAAAAACACACTCATGCTTAAGATATTAAAGCAAAGTATAATTTATTTGGGGTATCTGAGTAAATTATGTTTCCATAATCTTCTGTTTTTGTTTTTTTGGGTTTTTGTTTTGTTTCTTTTTTGAGATACAGTCTCACTCTGTCACCCAGGCTGGAGTATAGTGATGTGATGTTGGCTCACTGTAACCTCTGCCTCCCCCATTTCAAGCGATTCTTGTGCCTCAGCCACCCGGGTAGCTGGGATTACAGGCATGTGCCACCATGCTCAGCTAATTTTTGTATTTTTAGTGAAGACAGGGTTTCACCATGTTGGCCAGGTTGTTCTCAAACTCCTTCTCCTTTGAGAAGCCACCTGCCTTGGTTTCTCAAAGTGCTGGGATTACAGGCATGAGCCACTACACCCAGCCATGTTTTCATAATCTTCTGGAATGCTAAGATGACTTCTGTCACACTTTATTTTGTGCAGCTAATCACCCTTCTTTCCTTCTAACTGACATAGCTTTCTTTGGTCAGTTATTTCCTAAAGCATGCTCCTTGGAACACTTACTTGTTCCACATGATTTTGCAGGGGCATGTAAGAAAAATAAAGGGTCTGTTGTGAAGTTTTAGCGATGGTAGATTAAACAATTAAAAAGGTCCCTTTGTTGTAGGACTTCCCAGGCTTTAAAATGCTAAACCATTTCTCTATCATCATTCTTCTCTAGTTCTGACATGTATCCCTTTCTCATCCCACTACGGCTTAACTCAACTTCAAACCACTACTCAGTCTTTTAAATTGAGTAAGCCTTCCAGATTCAACCAGACTGATTTTTTCATCCTTGCCTGTTGATTCTCAATCTCCTTCTCCAGGGAAATATGGAGAGATGAAGTCTCACTCTGTTGCCCAGGCTAGAGTGCAGTGGTATGATCACAGCTCACCGCATCCTCAAACTCCTCGCTCAAGCGACCCTCCAAATAGTTGGGACTACAGGCATAGGTAGGCTCAACCTCAGCCTTCCGTAGTTGGGACTACAGGCGTAGGTAGGCCACCACACCTAGCTAATGAGGATTTCTATCTTTAAAACCATACCCAGGCCCGATGATCTAAGCAGTATGTCTTCAACTGGGGAATACATATAGGTAAGAATATTATGTTGAGGTATACAAATTTGTAAGAGAAAATGTGATATATTTTCCTGAAGAGTTTTACTTAAAGGTTTTTTGGGAAACATTTTTATTATAAAATAAAAATACATGTAGAATGTACAATGTTTTAAAGAAATATGAGACTTGTAAGAAATTTCTAGGTTTCCTTCTGGATACCACTTCAGGCTATATCCCAGACCCCTTTGGTAAGCATTCAAATGCCTCTGCCCTAAAGGAACTTCCAAAGAAAAGTCCAAAAGGCACTGACGTAGGCCAATGGAAAGGAACAGGAGAAAGTAAGTATCAAGGACTCAGAAAATGCTTCCTCTGTGTCAAGTACCATATTAGATGCTTTATCTATATACTTTTCTTAATGCCCAAAATTACACTACAAAAATGCACTACTTATTAATCTTATAGAATCTTACAGAAGTCTCACAAAAGTTAACCTGTCCTAAGCTGCAAAGTTTACAATAGTAAAAATATTTTCTTATATAATGTTGGAGTGATAAAGAACACACATTTAACACTGAAATATTATGGTTAATTCCCATGAGAAAAATAGCTAAGATAACTAGAAATGGCCCTTTTAAAATTTATCACCAATATGAGTCCTTCAGTCTTAATGCAGTCTCTAACAGAAATGAGGTACCTATTTTCTAGTAAAAGCTTATTACTGCTACTAGCAAATTCCCAGATATTCAGAAGTATTATTAGGATAACATGTTTAAGTTTCAGTTAATGCAAATCAGGGGAAAAAACTTAAGACTTTACATTTGTAATTGTTACATACTATTCACTAGCATATTTCCTTCCAAAGAAAAGCAATGCCTACTATTAACTAGGATTTTCCCAGTTGTATGTTATATGAACAATATTGAATATTTCTTTTTTTTTTTTTTGGGGGACAGAGTCTCATACTGTCACCCAGGTTACAGTGCAGTGAAGCAATCACCGCTCACTGTAGCCTTAACTTCCCAGCCTCAGGCGATTTTCCTATCAAACCTCCCAAGCAGCTGGGACCAGAGGTGTGTACCACGATGCCTGGCTAATTTTTTTGTATTTTTTGTAAAGGCAGGGTTTTACCATGTTGCCCAGGCTGGTCTCAAACTCCTGAGCTCAAGCTATCCACCCATATCAGCTTCCCAAAGTGGTGGGATTACAGGCATGAGTCACCACACCCAGCCTTCAAAAGACTTTTTAAAGAATTTAAGAAAGTAAGACTGAAGATGTCAAAGTAGTTTGAAATTGAAGGGCTAAATGATTATCCAAAGCATGTCTTATTTTTTTCATAGAACACTGCCAGTTAAATCTGCAACTTAAATCTTTACATGCTAAAATTAACCGGGTGGCCTTTACTTTAAGAAAACATAACATATATACAGATTTACCAAATCAGCATAATAGGGATTATTATAAAAGGACTTATTGTAGAATCTTTTAAAATTAGGGAGCTCTATAGTGGATTTTATATTAGCCAGTTTACAAACAAACAGGTTAATATGCAATCTTTAAGGAATATATGTTAAGTGAAACTCCAAACATTAAAAAGAAATACTAAAAGATATGGCCAAGAAAGATTACTTAAAAATAAATAAATCTGCTAATAAAAATACTAACCTCATTAAAAAATACTAACCTCAGTCTTTGTTATTATTTCTTTTAATGAGACAGAGTCTCACTCTGTTGCTCAGGGTCTCACTATGTCACTCCGTCTGGAGTCAGTGGCACAATCACGGATTGCTGCAGCCTCAACCTCCCAGGTTAGGTGATCCTCCTGCCTCAGCCTCCCAAGTGTCTGGGACCACAGGCATGTGCAGTCATGCCTGGCTAATTAAAAAAAAATTATTTGTAGAGATGGGGTCTCCCTATTTGCCCAGGCTAGTCTTGAACTCCTGGCCTCAAGGGATCTTCCCATCTCAGCCTCACAAAGTGCTGGGATTACAGGCATGAGCCATGGCACCTGGCTTTTTGCTACTGTTAATAAAAATTATAGTTGCAGAGATAATGGAATATAAAATCCTTTGTTTTCTATATATATATCTGTGAGGACAGTCATAAAGAAGTATTAACTTGTATACAATTATTAAATACATGTAAATTTAAAAATTAATATTTTATTTACTTGCAGAGCAATAGTTAAAATGTGAATATTTAATTTATTTAATCTGTATAGATGATAGAAGCAAAATCTTTTTATTAACAACATATGTAACTGTGAATACAAATGATTAATCCTTTCATTATCCCTTAACATATTAATTCTCCCTACTTAAAGGCTTTCTAAACATTGGGCAAAATCGCTTGTATAAATATACAGGTAAAGTCTCAAAAATGGAAGGAGTAGAAATTGAATGGTATAATGACAAAATAGCAAAAATCTTCTTTTGCTAATTTTATAAATTATAAGAACCTAGTCATATCACTGAAGTATATATTTTCCAAATAATGTGCATTTCAGAAGAGCAACTCAGACTAGGAGCCACGGCTCATACCTATAACCCTAGAGCTTGGGGAGGCCAAAGTGGGAGGATTGCTTGAGCCCAGGAGGTTGAGATCAGCCTGGGCAACATGAGACTCCATCTCTACAACAATTTTCTTTTTAATTAGTTGAATATGTTGGCACATGCCTGTAGTCCCAGCTACTCAAGAGGGTGAGGGAGGAGTATAGCTTGAGCCTGAAAGGTCAAGGCTGCAGAGAGCCATGATTGCGCCACTGCACTCCAGCCTGGGCAACATAGTAAAAGCCTGTCTCAGTCAGTAAGTCAATATGAGCAAGACAGGAAGACAAGTAATTGAAAGAATAAGACTAAATGAAAATATCTTTTTCTTTTTTGAAGAGGCTGAAGAGCACTATAAATATTTTAATTTTGAAAAACCAAGTTCCTACTTTTAAGACATTTCTAAGTTACCATGGTTTGTGGAGGAACTAAGAAAAGAAAATAATTAAAAGCCAGAAAACAAATGAAATCTTTTGAGAAAATTCATTATATAAAATCAATATATCTTAAGTTGATAATTACCAAATGATTTAAAAATACAAGCAAAAAAGGTAAATGTCTAATTTAGCCTAAACTCAACTGGGAAACTAACAAGAAATATCATAACTTGCAAATTGTGTTAAATTAAAAAAAAATTCTTAAACTAAGAACATCCAATTGTAAACACTCCAGTTGATGAAATAATAAGATACTTATGTATTAGAAAAGCTTGTTTATAAAATTCCAGATTTCCATATTGTTAGTTTTTTAAAGGTATTTTATTTATAAGGATATTGCAAAAGGAAATAGAGGTCTATTCTGGAATTGCAATCTAACAAGAAAGACAGTCTAACCTTCACATTTACATTGAAAAATTGAGATTTTAACAGCCTTTTCTGCAATATGCATATTTTTAAAAAATATAAAACTATTTCAAAAAGCTCATATATGCATATAAATATATAAAGCAAAAGAACACACAATTAAAAATTGAATAAATGTGCCAAAAGACAGTTTCTTAATGGCTTCCTTGAAAACTAAGTGTCAAATTATCTTAGGCTGTGCTTCTTTTTCTACAAAGAACAAAGTAGACCTTATAGCTCAGAAATCCATGTAACAAGTACTCTACTCATCATACTCACAGGTTTTAGTTTTTCTTCCTCACTAGTCAATACCATAGAGTCTTTTCCCCTAGAAACTCTGAAAGGCTTCTTATTCACTGGTCATGTTGTTATCAGACCCGACACATCAGGAATGACCCACACTAATCTCCAGCCAGCTCTTTACGATGCCCAGAACTTACGGTGCATTACAGGTGATACTTCTTATAGCAGATGTTGATTATGGTCCCAAAACACAAGAGATGCTCCCAGAGGGGTTTAGAACCCCTAACAACATCACCTGCTTCTTTTTATATCCAGAGAAGCACTGTGGTGTTCTCTTTTGAACAACTAATGACTTCAGGAGATTACACAGACGAGTTCTTTTCATTAGATTGCTTGACATTAGCTTATCCTTTCAGAATACTGCAGCAAATACAGGTTGTATGATTCCATTAGGAAAAAAGAAATATTTTTACACAATTTTTCTCTGTGGCGCAGTTTAGTTTACCCTTCTGTGACAGCAAATTACTAGAAGAACTGGTTCTTAGTTTTCTAATGGCGCAGCGTTAACACAGTGAATGATTCACGGATGTTCTTCTTAACATTCAGGAGTAACAAGGAAGGCTAGCAGTGCAGCCCAGGTCCAGAGCTGATGAATGGTGCAGTGCTGCTGTTGTCATAGCAACCAAGAGGAAAAAAGCAGCACCATGTAAGGATCTGTGACATGGATTCTGGGAACAATTTATATTAAAAAGCTGTAAGCTTCTCGTGCCTTAAAGCTGTAAACTCCTCTCACTGTTTCCTTCTCATATTTTACTCTACTGGATTTTTGAATCAGAGCTATATGAATGTACATTGCAAAACAGTTACTTAGTAGACATCAACAAAAAAAATGCAGTTGAGGTAATTTAAAAGGGTAACAATACTTTAGAAAGCTAATTCAGGTCTGCAGTATCTCCATAATGTATTGTTAAGTGTTAAAATTATACAGTGATTTTGTTGCAATGTAAGGAACTGTCTAGAGTTTGAGATAGTAGAAAATTTATTTTTATATACTTAGAGATATTTAAACCCTAATTAAATGCCTTTCATTCAGATGGTATGTATCAGATATACCCAAACTGCAGCACTATCAACTGGCTGACTTAGAAAATACCAATGACACCAATTTCTTTTTTTTTTTTAATTGCATTTTAGGTTTTGGAGTACATGTGAAGAACATGCAAGATAGTTGCATAGGTATACACATGGTAGTGTGATTTGCTGCCTTCCTCCCCTTCACCTATACCCATGCTCTCTCTCCCCAACTTCCCACCCCCCGCTGTCCATCCCCTATTCCCCCCAATAGACCCCAGTGTGTAGTGCTCCCCTCCCTGTGTCCATGTGTTCTCATTGTTCAACACCCGCCTGTGAGTGAGAACATGTGGTATTTCATTTTCTGTTCTTGCGAATGACACCAATTTCAAAGCGAGGCATACTATCACCTGTATTCCTTCTAGATAAAGACAGTTTCAAAAGACACTAACTTCACTAAAAATGCTTATAGCCTTCATTCATGAACAAGAAAACTTCTCCATCAATCACTTGTAAGACGGGGTTACTGACCCACCCATGCTTCTAATGGCCTCTCCCTAACTGGGCCTGGACAATCTTTTTCTTGTCAGTTTCTCCTCACCTCTCAGGAATCAGGAAGAGTTCCTTCCTTTCCAGGGGATAGTAGGATAGCTTCCAAAAGGAATCATAGGAGAAGTGGGAGCAAGGGAGACCATCAATGAATAGATTATTGTAATGGTACTCTCTCTATAGTCTTCTGGACATGGCTTTGAGATGACTGGTGCAGAAAAAATATCTTTCATTAGATTTATTAAGCATGGGCCACTGATGTTATGATATATCATCTATTACATAGGGCAATTCTGTATGAAATTGTTCTATATCATATCTGTGTGTTACTTTTCCATCACCACTTATTTAATGAAATGTTTAGATATGATACAAAACAAAATATTAAATATATTTACTTAATACACTGTTATCTTATATGGGCAACACTGCCATTGTAACAGGAATTCTGGAACAGTTATGTATTTGTTGGTCATATATTTATGATGCATTTATCTCTATAAATGAAGAACCTAAGTAAATTGTGACTAAAAAGAACTGCAATGTGGTGGGATGGACATGTATTTGACTAGTCTTCTGACTGTAGTTGGACTAACAGCTTTGCTATTTTTAAATATAGCCCTGAATAAGTCATCTAACCACTCTGACCCACTGATTCATCTCAGCAAAGTATTTTCTAACTTCTTCCTAAAGCTACTGTGGGAATAGAATAAAATAAAATAATATGATGCAAAGGCTTGAAATTCTAAAAATCTATATTATCTTATTTAATAGTATCTAATTAAGTGAAACAGGAAAGATAAAAAGGAAAAATGGAATTTCAATAGAACTCCACAGACACAGAAAATTTCCTAAAAAGGTAAATATTTCTCCAGGCTAGGTTTTACGTCTGACTGGATATTGTGGCCCATCACACTGCACATACTTGTCACAAGTAGCTATTTCTTTTTAGAATTATAGTAGACACATATACTGTGGACCAGTGTTCAAGGATTATTTAATATAATAATGTACAAGTAATTCTACTGCCTCAACATGACTTATAAAATGTCTTTAGAAAATAGTAACTTGGTAATAAAGAAGTATAAGCAGTTTCTATGGAATGGTAATACCAAAGAGCATGCAAAGTGATAAACTTGTTTAAAATAATCTATTACTTTTTATCCTAACCGACTAGAAAACTATAGGGTAAACTCAAAAATGAACTTTTATGTTTGACTTGAAAATTCCATCTCATTCTGTTTCCTGGATAGTCTAATCTCTTCTGTCTAGTAAATTTTTAAAATCAAATATTGTCTTGCCCCAGTAGTTATTTTTAATGGAAGTTCTCTTTGGTTGTAACTTTTTAGAATACTGATTATTCAATATCTGAGGTAAAAAGAGCAAGTTTCTCTCCCATCTCCCCACTCATCAAGTCTTGTTGAACAGATCTTTTCATTAGAGGGATACCAGGAAAGTTCTGCAAAAACAGGAAAAGCTGGACAATAAATAATTTTTTCACTGACTTTCATGTTAATGTTACCTATGCTCCATACGAGCTAACTGGGATGAGGACATGGTTAAAATACTTTAAAAGACAAAGTACACAGGTTTGGTTTTGTTTAAAAAATTGGATTAAACTTAAGGGTGGAGAGAGATTTAAGGAGTTAAGCTATTCCCCCTGGTTACGAATTTTTAACTCCTTTATGATTAATTTAGGTAAGTCATGCTAAAACGTACACGATTTTATATTTTTTATTTTTATTCCTTTTCCAGTTTTCTCATATTAAAAGCTTTTTCTAAAGAGTAATCATCAGTACTAAACTCTATGGTGCTTAAAGGTAGGGTATTTATGAAGAGGTGTACATATGAAATCTCTGTTCTCACAGCAGTAAGAAAGTAACCATCCTACTAGTTATATCAATTCAGGCTTTGGCCAAATCTCTACGTGGGGTTATCTTTCCTAGCAATGGCTACTGCTCCAGATCAGGACTTCAAGCTGCAACAGTAGGGTAATGACTGACAGAAGAAAAAGAAATATATTTGTAAAAATAATATGTGATCTCTACACATTAGCCAATTACTTTATCTGGGGGTCAAACAAAAAAAGAGTAAAGAGCAAAATAGCTACAGCTCTAAAGAATAAACTGGCAGGGTTGGACATATCGAGAAGCAGTTTTTCTGTTTAATGAAGGTAATAAATGATATTTAATGGATTTCTGAGGATAATTTTCTTTATACTCAGTTTTTATTTTATATGTTGACTTTACTCCCTAAACCCTCAGTAAAATTTTCCCAAATGTGTGATGCTACCTCTAAATGACAACTGTAACATTTGATAAAGGTCATGAGCTGGCAGGTGGTTCTTTCAGAATGTTTTTATTGATAAGCAAGGCATAAAAGGGCATACTGAGCCATAAGATACACATATCAAATCTCCTTTCTCTCATTTTACTTACTTCATTAAACTAAACTGAAGTTATAAAATTTACTGAATTATATAGATGTATATGCAATTAAAAAACCATTTTCAGAAATCAGAAACATAAACGTTAATCAGAAATGGGGAAAACAGAGACGTTCAACTAACTCTGGTATAACTCAAAACAGTGCTCATTGTGCTATCTAAACAAAGTCATCAAACAGATCATTAATACCACATAGACAATTCTAAAATGACCATATTTCTTGGCTGGGCACAGTGGCTCACACCTATAATCCTAGCACTTTGGGAAACCGGGGTGAGAGGACTGCTTGAGCCCAGGAGTTTGAGACCAGTCTGGGCAACATGGCAAGACTCCATCTCTACAAAATAATGAAAAAAATCAGTCAGGTATGGAGGTGCATGCTTGTAGTCCCAGCTACTCAGGAGGCTGAGGTGGGAAGATCGCTTGACCCCAGGAGGTTGAGGCTGTAGTGAGCAGTGATCATGCCATTGCACTCCAACCTGGGTGACAAAGCAAGACTCTCTTAAAAAAATGAGTAAAATGAAATCACCATATTTCTTAACTTTTGAAATTCTGCTAATGACATGAATGACTGATGGACAAGGTAAGGATGTGTATTTACAATTAAGAAAGGCCAGCTGCACTGAAAATGTCCGACAACACTCTGCCTCTGGTGTTTAAAATCCTCCTCTGAGAGGGAGTTACTCTGTCATGCCATGTGCTTCCTACTCTCATGGGCTGAATGTTAACTTGGGTGCATAATTTTCTATAATGAGAATAAATATATGGCTTAGCATTATAAAAATTTGACATTATAATGTGAACATATATTCTGTTCTAAGCTTTGCATTATCCCATATTATAATTTATTTCCTGTTTAGAGAGTTACTAATGATTCATTTTGAATCGTGGATATTTGACTTTTGTGATGCTTTGTAACTGAAAAGTATTCCTCATGGACAAAATTGTTTAGTCCTTAAATTCCACATTTGACACTTTCTAAACTGCTCACATTCCATAGCAGGTGGGAAGTTAAGAAAGTAGGGAAGGACAAGGTTAACTGAGTAAAAAAAATTGGCTTCCTAGGAACTGTGGCATAAATCATGGTGAGTTTTCTCGGGAAGGTCACAGAAGAAGGATGGACAATGAAGGATTTTTTTTCTGTTATCTTCATGGTATTTTCCATGTTTAAAACCAATATCCAATTCTTGGAACCACAACACAGTAGCTAAAAAGGATATTGATTGGCTGGGCACAGTGGCTCGCGCCTGTAATCCCAGCACTTTGGGAGGCCGAGACGGGTGGATCACGAGGTCAAGAGACCAAGACCATCCTGGTCAACATGGTGAAACCCCGTCTCTACTAAAAATACAAAAAATTAGCTGGGCATGGTGGCACGTGCCTGTAATCCCAGCTACTCAGGAGGCTGAGGCAGGAAAATTGCCTGAACCCAGGAGGCGGAGGTTGTGGTGAGCTGAGATGCACTCCCGCCTGGGTAACAAAAGAGAAACTCCATCTCAAAAAAAAAAAAAAAAAAAAAGGATATTGATCAAGTGACAACTTTTTCACATGTTAGGATTCTTTTTATTATTTCCCCTTGTTTGTTACAAGAAGTGCTTGGCACAAAAAGAAACTCTTGACACACATTTCTGTATTCCTCTTAGCCTTAAGGTGTTATTATCTTCACTTTACATATGAAGAAACAGGAGCTCAAAAAGAACTAATCCGCACAGAGTTTACAAATAAATATGTAGAATTCTAATTGGGTTCTTCGTCCAACTAGGTTCTTGACCAGTGTGATCCTATCAGTTCTTTTGGGCCTAGAGTTCTGAACCTTAACCCTGCCATATTATAGACATTCCATAAAGACTTGCTGAAAACAAACATTACCTAACACTGTGTCCTCATTGTTAGACATTTTTCTTGGTG